CATTTCATGCCTTAGTCGTTACTCAATCACTCTCTCCCAGAGCTTCATAATATAACTCATAAGCTTGATCCCTTGATAGTTTGCACAATTTTGTATCTCTTTTGTGTTATTGTAGATAGGTCCCACAATACTTTTTTTCTATTTGTCTGGCATTTTATTTGCTTTCAACACCTTGTTGAACAACTTCGTCAACCAGTCAATGCCAATATCCCCTATGCACTGCCAAACCTCTATCGGGATACCATTTGATCTTAAAGTCTTTCCTATCTTCATTATTTTCAAAGCTTCTTTCACTTGTGATATCCTAATCTTACGAATGTATTTATGACCTCCGTCGTCACTTGTACCAATAGTTCATTCTACCACTATATTCTTATTGTATTCGTCATTTAATAATTTTTGAAATAGACTCTCCACCTTTCGTTGATCTCGTCATCCTTCACCAATACCCTTTATCATCTCTCTTAATGTATTTAATATGGTTTAGATCCCTATACATTTTCTCTCTTATTTTTGCTAATTTGATAATATCTTTTTTCCCTTCTCTTATTCCCAGTTTATGGTATAGCTTATCATATGCCTTAAGTTTAGCTTTCATTTACTATTTGTTTAGCATTTTTATATTATTCTAAATTTTGATTATTTCTATTGCACTGTCAAGTTTTATAACATGACAATTTTTTGCTAATGGCTTCTGAACTTCATCATTCCACCACCAAGTTACTTTTTCGAAGTTTTTTTTTGGTATAGATTCTCCTAAAACTTATTTTGCCACTTTCTTTATATATTCAACCATCTCATTCCATATTACATTGACATCATGTTCAAAGTTCTATTTTCCTTCTTTAACTAATTTATCCCTAAATAAGTCTATTTTCTCATTTTTAAAATTCCACCACCTAGTTTTTGGACGCCCATTACTGTCACCCTTTCTCCTCCATGTCTTTATGCAAACATCTATGACCAGACAACATCCAAAACTCAATCAACACCTAAAGCTAAGTATCAGGCAATGGCCCAAACAACAGCTAATAATGTTTGGCTTCATTGGTTATTAGCTACCTTAGGTATGGAGTTTTCTAAACCCACTCCCTTATATTATAATAACAAAAGTGCGATTTATATTTTAAAGAAGCCAAAGTTCCATGAGCGCAGCAAGCATATTGAAGTAGATTGTCATTTTGTTCGACATGAATATTTAGATGAGACCATCTCTCTTCTATACATCTCATCCTTTGTATAGCTGACTTCATTACGAAGTCCTATAATACTTCTCGTTTCTCAAGCCTTGCTTCTAACTCTCAATGGTTTGCTTCCGACCATCATGAGTTTGAGAGGGAGTGTGAAATTTTGTATATTTACTTTCTTAAATTGATTAGATAAGATGATCTTTTCATGGTCATGCATGATATACTCTTTCTTTTTTTGTATATCACACATGTTGTACAATATAACCACCTCTGTAAACATATATGGGATTTCTCCCACATGTTTAATACAACAAAAGAAAGCTTTTCTTACAATAACCATATTTTTTAGACAGAGATAGATGCCATACTTTTTAGAGTGAGGGTGAATAAATTCATAGGGTTAGATTGGGGTAAAATTATCGTCACCATGTAAGAGGCTCAAACCTCAAGCGATCTTCACAACAATGAGGTCCCATGTCCGTTCATTTTGAAAGGGGCGGTATCGTAGGCTGCCTAGGCATGGATAGTAGCCTAAAAAAGACCAAATAATGAAAAATGAAATTAGGTTGTTCGTTTTAATTAATGGGGTCATTATATCAAGGAAGATTGTTTCATGCAGGCTGGATTACCCTTCTATATATGCGGTTCAGAAAGTATAAAGCATCCCTCTCAAAGACGTATGCAAGTAGGTGTTCCACCTAAAAACAATGGAAACTAATGGTCCAAATGTTTTCTTACTAGAATTATTATTTCTAGTTTTTTAAATTTGTTTATTTGTTGTCATATTCATGATCTCCATGTTAGATATTACACGACATTAAAAATTAAGTCTTAAAATCCATCTCAAAAATAGATTTATTAATAGTCCCACATTTCTACATATGCGAGATACTTGTTTGATACTAAATTTGAGTCATTGATTTATTGTGGGCAACCATTTCTCTGTTGGACAATGCATGAAGAACAAGCATGAGATTATCAAATGATAATACCTGATAATAAATGGGGAATGAAAAAATGGGTTCAATATATTTATCCTTTTAATTGTTGTTGGAACTTGAGAGATAACTAATGAAAAACATGAGGTTAAGGATGGCATTAATAAAATACAACCAAGACCCTTCTTCCCATTTTTAGAGAGACAGAGCTTGAAAAATTACATGTGCTATAGAGAGAGAGAGAGTATTATGGGGAGAGGGAGGGAGGTATATTCTACCTAGGAGATAGATGGGAAGTCCGCCGTCAGAGAGAGAGAGAGAGAGAGAGAGAGAGAGAGAGAGAGAGAGTAGTAGTAGTAGAGTAAGTAAGTAATAGTTAGTTAGTAGTAGTAGTAGTACGTACTAACGAAGAGAAGTAAGTAAGAAGAAGTATAGTAGTTATTATACGTAAGAAGAGACTAACGTAAGTAGTAGTAAGTAAACGTAAAGTAAG